TAATATTTTGGGTATGGATTTGTTAAGTTGGTACGAGACTCAGAATGATTGTTTGAAGAAGCATGTTACTTTATTTTTGGGCACTAAGAGGTGTGTACTTCATGGCTTTATAATTATTTTGTTTTGTTTGATTTATGTTGTGGAAACATATAAATTATGGAAAAGGAGTTGCATTTTATTTCTAGCATCAGTTTAGGATAAGAGTATAGATTATAGTCTTCTTTCTGATGTCTCAGGAATTTGCGGATGTATTTCCTGAGGAGTTAATCAGTTTGCCTCTAGATAGAGTCATAGAGTTCGGTATTGATATATTTCTGGGTATGACCCTGATTTCTATGGCTCCGTATAAGATTGCACCTAAGAAGATTTAGGAGTTGATTGACATGGGATTTGTTTGTCCTAGTGTCTTTGTGGAGAGCAAATGTTCTATTTGTGAATAAAAAGATGGTAAGATGCATATGTGCATTGACTACAAGAAGTTAAATAAAGACACTATGAAGAACAAGTATCATCTGTCATGGATTGACAATCTATTTGATCAGCTTGTTGGATCTTCTGTATTCTTGAAGATTGATTTATGATATGGCAACTATCATGTGAAGGTGAGTGGGGTTGATGCGATGAATACAGCTTTCAGTACTCGGTACAAACACTATGAATTCTTTATAGATCTGATGAATATAGTGCTCAGAGATTTACTAGATCAGTTTGTTATTTTTTTATAAATGACATTTTGATATATTTTGCTTATGTAGAAGATCATGCCAGACATTTGAGAATTATTTTGGAGACTTTAAGGCAACATCAACTATATACAAAATTCTCTAAATACAAGTTCGTGCTGAAGAGTATTACTTTTCTAGGGCACATAGAGAGTATTAATGGTATCTCTGTAAACCCCCAGAAAATTCAGACAATCACTGAGTGGCTGAGGCCTACTATTGCATTTGAGATATACAACTTTTTGGGTATGACTGGATATTACCGAAAATTCATGAAAGAATTTTGTCAAATTTATGCACCTCTGACAAGACTTACTCAGAAGTCAGTAGATTTTATTTGATCACTTGAGATTGAAGCCAATTTTTCGAGATTAAAAAATTGTTTGACTTCTACTCCAATTTTGACTATTTCTTCTTATATAAAAAGATTTCATGTTTTCAATGATGCTTCACTAAGAGGTTTGAAATGTATTCTTATACAATACGATAGAGTAATAGCCTATACTTCCAAATAGTTGAAGTCATATGAGAGACGCTTTCAAAATCATTGATTGTAAATTGCATTTTTATATATTTTCCAAAATCAAGATTAGTTGAAAATGATTACAATAAGAATAATAAAACAATTGAAATACATATTTTATTCTTACTGAATTTTATTTCTTTGTTCCATGTTAAAAAAAAAAAAAAGATACAAACATAAATAGGCAAAAAAACTCCTACAAGAAAAGAAATAAATTTAAAAAAATCTTTACTTATGGAACTCATAATTAACTACACAGCAAAAATGAAATACTATTG